GGCGACTGCGTGTGGTGATGAAGGGGGGGGGGGGGCGAGAGGAAGCGGGGGAAGTTGGGGAGGAAAGGAAAGGAGGGGCGGGCCGGGGAGCGGGACACAGACGAAATGCGGGCAATCAGAGGTAGGGGGTACGGGGGGGGGGGGGGGATGGGTTGCCCAGGGGCCGCGGTTGGCCAAGACCCGCGCCGGTGCAACAAGGATCCGCGCCCCCTCCGCGGGAACCGGAGGGGTCCTCTGCGTAGCGGGCGTTTCTCCGTACGCGCGCACACGCGCGCGCGCGCGCCATCTGGCGGGAGCATCCCCCCCAAACACACACGCACCTCGTCCCAACGGGCGCGCCGAGGGCGGGAAGAAAAACGGCCCGATCGCGCCCCCGCCCCGGCCCAGGCCGTTTGTCCACAGGGGGATTTTGAATTCCCCCCCCCCCCCCCTCCCCCCCCCCCCGCCCCCCACGCCCATCGGCAAGGCTCGGCGCCGGGCGCGAACGCCGCGGTGGAGCCCCCCACGCCAGCACCAAACGCCGATGGCGATCTGCGCCCAACAGACGAGCGGCCCCCGCGGTGGGAGAGCCCCACACATCCTACACACCGGTCAGTTAGGTACTCGCCGCGCGCGTGACAGCAACGTGATCTCCAAGCACATCCGTGGGTATCTAGTGGGGCGTGGGTATCATTTCTTCGTTGGCACCTTGCCGCCGGGCGCCGGGGCCTGCGTCCGGTACCGGCGCCAGGCCTCCGGCGAGATGGCTGGCCGCGGCCCGAGGGTCGAGTCGATGATCATATTCCGCAGGAGGATCATGCCGTCCGGATCGCCGGTTGAATCGAAGAACCGCAAGAGCGACTCTTCGTCCCCGGCGCCCGGGGCCGGGGGCGTGGCCGGCGCCGCCGGCGCAGCCGCAGCCGCAGCCGCAGCCGCCGGCCCCGGGCCGGCTCGAGCCGACTTGCGCTTCATCACCTGCTTGGTGGGCTTGGCCGAGACCGCCAGCACCAGGGGGAAGGCCAGGGGGAGGCCATTGGACACGGCTCGGCGGTCGTGCGACCAGGACAGGTCGGCCGCCGGCGCGGTCGGGTCCACTTGCGCCTCCTGCTCGGCCTCATCGGCGGCCGGGAGCTCGCCGGACACGATGAACTGCGCGATCTCGCGACGCCGGCGCTCCACGGCCCCGGCCGATACGAGGTCCATCTTGGTGAGGATGAACTGCGGAACAGCGGGTGAGATTGTGCCAAACGGGGGGGGGGGGGGGGAGGGGACGAGGCGAGGAGCAGCGCCCCGTCTCGGCGACGGCCATGCCAAGCATGAGGGGGGGGGGGTACCTGGAAGGGGATGGCCCGATCATTCAGCCAATAACTCATGTACACGTCGGAGTCCATCAGGCCGCGCCGCGAATCCACCAGCAGGTACACGCGAGAGATCCTGCACATGGTCCGGCAGGGGGGGGGAGGGGGGAGGGACGCGGGGCGGGGAGAGTCAGGCGAACGTAGGCAGGCGCGGGTGTGGCAAGGGGGAGCCGAGGAAAAAAAAAAGGAGGAAGAGCAAGAGGCAGCCTGCGTCCTGTGCACGGACTTCGGCGAGTGCTGGAGGAAAGTCTCGACCAACTCGCCCCACTCGGCCCGACTGCCGTGGCCGTAGCCCGGCATGTCCACCATGCCGAAGGTGTCGGCCACATTGAAGATGTTCAGCGATCGGGTGTGGCCCTGTGCACGGGGGGGGAGCGGGTCCGTCGGGGGGGGTGCCCAGCCCGACGGGGCGGCGGCCAGGGCGGCGGTCAGCATGTGGCGCATGGGGGACGTTCGAGGCATGGGAGGGGGGCCCGTCGCACCGGGGTCTTGGCCGTCTTGACCAGGTGCGTCCGCCGGCCACCAGTGGAGGCCAGGCAATTCAGGAGCGTGGACTTGCCGGCGTTCGACCGCCCGGCAAAGGCCACCAGCGGCAGCCCCTTGACCGAGGGCGGCAGGCCGGCCACCGCCTCGGCCTTGTTGTGGATGGACCCGGCGAAGGCAATCTGCCCGAGGGGGCGCATGGAGGGCCGCGGCGGGGGCTGCGGCGTCCGGCCGCCGGTCGACCCGGCGCCCCGGCGTAACCCGGCCAGGGACACATCCTGCGTGTAGTCATTCTGCGCGCGCGTGGCGCGCAGGCGCCCCGGCATCGGCTGCGAGAAGAGCACGCACGCGGCTCGCTCGGTGGCCTCCGAGAAGGCTGGCATGGTGTTCAAAAGCCCGGAGATCAGCTGGCTGTGTGTTTGCCGGTCGACCGCCGAAGCGGCGGCCGGGTTGGCGCTAGGCCGCCGCGAGCCATCCCCGGCGGTGGCGGCGGCCGAGCCCAGCGCCCGGGCCAGCGCCGGCCAGGTGGCCAGGCGGCGGGCCTGGTGCACGCGAAGCATCTGATTGGCAGACAAGTCCGCGCGAGGGGAGAAAGGTGAAATCAAGGGGGGGAAGGGGGAGGAGGGGGGGGGGGGGGGTGTCTATCCCCTCTGGTCACCGGAGGCCCGCGTTCTCTTCAGGGCGCACATACTCACCCTCCTCTCACACACCCCTACTCCCTTCCTATGTTTCTCCGCAGGGCCGGGGGCCCGATCGGCATTGCCCCCCCCCCCCCTGGGGTTGTGGCCCGGAGATCGCCCGAGCGGGGCAGCCCGCCCTTCGGGGGCCATGTCGCGTCGAGCCACCCCATCGCCAGCAACATCAGATCCCCCCGTTGAGCGCTCCGCCCGCATGCCTGCACACAGACGCCCATAACACACGTCCCCCCGCCTCCTCCCCCGCCCCTGTCCCGCCCGCTTCTGCGTCCTCCCCCCCCCCCCCCCGTGCCGCATGGCTGGCCATCTGGCCAAGTCGCCCCGGGCGACCGGCCTCCCACTCCGGCTGGACCCGGCGGCCAGCCTCCTGCTGCCGTCCGGTCTCCTGGGCCGCCGGCCTGGCGATCCCCCGCCGGCCGCACTGGCCGGGTCCTCGGCTGGCGTGCGAATTGGCCTCCGGCTGCCCGGAGGCGGGCTGCCCGACCGGGCGGATGCCTCGCACGATGCATGCTCGCATGCCCCCTCGCCGTCGGGCCAAACCACCATCGGGGCCTTTTGCCCGTGTGCCCTCGGCCGGCAGGGCCCCGGGGCGCCTGACGTGGAGTCCTGTGCGGCTTGCTTTGCCGGGCGCTCGGTCGATGCTTGGCTCGATGCGTCTGCCGGCCAGGACTTGCCCGCCCCCGAGGGCGATGATGGGCCGCTGTTTACGGCCCGACGCGCCGATGGGATTCTGGACATCCGGTTCGTTGCAAACCCCGAGGCAGCCCGAAGGGGCAGAGGCAGAGGACGGGGGGCAGGGAGACCAAGGAGACCCGCGCCATGCCCATGCCACTGGCAAAGACTGACTTTGATGATCGCAGCATCGGTCGCGGCTTCCAGCCCCTGATCGAGGAGGCGGTGGTTGGATTACTGACGGCCACCGCGGCCGGGGCCCCGGTTCTCGCGACCCTCCCCCCGGGCCGGCCGTCCTACGCCGCCCCTCCGGAGTCCCCGGCCCCGGCCCCGGCCCCGGCCCCGGCCCGGGGCATCCTGTCTCTCCGGTCGGCCGAACTCGCACAGCAGGTGGTCGCCAAGCTGGCGGCCTTCCGACGGCAGGCTCTGGAAGCCGAGCTCCGGCAGACGGCCACCGGGGCCCCGGTCGGGTCGGCTCTGCCCGCCTGCGGCGGGTCGGCCATCCACCAGGCCCTGGCCCCGCTGGTGGCTCGGGACCCGGTGCTGCGGGTGCTGGAGGCCGTGCGCGACCGGCCCCCCCCGCAGGTGGACCTGCTGCTGGAGCTCGTCGACTGGACCCCGGCCGGCCAATGGATCCCCGATGTGTGGGAGCTGTCCAGTCGTGAGGCCATCCTGGCCGAGGTGCGTCCTTTTTATTGGTGGTTTTCCTTTGCCTCGCCTGTGCCCCGAGTCCGGCCCGGCGCGCCGCTGACGCACTGGCGCATGCCGTCGGCCAACAAGACATTGCGCCTGCGCGGCCTGGGCAATGCCCTCTTCCAGGCCGGGCGCTTTGGCCCGGCGGCGGCTGTCTACCACCATGCACTTTGCTTCATGGACCTGCATTTTTCCAGCCTCTTCTCCAGCAGCGGGGCCTCGCGGGCGCATGCCAGCTCCGCGGACGGTCGCGCCGCCGGGGCCGAGTCCCCCGGGCCGGCTGAATGCCCGGCCTTTCTCCAGCGCACCCTTCGCTTGAACCATGCGGCCTGCTCGTTGAAGGTTCGTCCAAGCTGCCCATGCGCGCACATGCTGGCGCAAGGGGCCGACACCATGGCCGGGAGAGGGGGTGGCCGGCAACAAACAGACGGATCGCCCGACCGACGGATGGACATGGCAGGCGAGGGGGCCCATGCCGCCCATGGTGAGGGGGAGCACCCGCCGGCCTCTGACTTTCCATTTTTTTTTGTGCCCAGCTGAATCGCCCGCTGGAGGCGCTGTCCCAGCTGAATCGCGTGCTGGCGCCCCAGCCGGGCGAGTGTCCCGCGGCGGGCCCCAAGCAGCGCGCAGGGTGCGACACCTGCCACCCGGCCCACCGGGCGAATTCCCCCGACGGGGTGTATTGCACGCAGGACCGAACCGAGCCCCAGTTCCGGAAGGCCCGGTACCGCCGGGCGCAGGCCCACTTTGCCCTGGGGGCCTATGATGATGCGCTGGCCGACTTGAGCAGTGCGTCCCTCGCCCTCGTTCCTTGCGTGCGAATGCCGCCATATGCTTGCGGCTCGCATGGGCGGCTGACATCTATTGCCCGTCCTCCGTGCTCCTCCCCTGCCTGTCTGCCTGCCTGTCTGCCTGCCCGGTCTCCCTCCTGGCCGGCCTGCCGGACCGTGCCGCTGGGCATGCCGGCTCCCGCGGATGTGTTTGCGCGCCGCAGAGATCCCCGGGCCCGAGGCGAGCGGCCTGGAAAAGCAGATTCACCGGGCGATGAAACGGAACCGGGGCATGTTCTCGTGACCTCCTCTGCATGTTATTAATTGTAATTTATTATCTCCCGGTATATGACTCAAAGGTTCTGGCTTCCCCGCTTCGGGGTGCTCTTTTACGCATGTGGAATGGGCCAGCCTGGACGCCGCCGCCCGGGCCCGGCACCAACACAACACCGGGGGGGGGGGGGGGGGGGGCCCGGGCGACGAGCCCACGGTCGGGTGCCGCCGGCCCACGCACCAGACCGTATTCCGATCGCGCCTTCTCGCGGGGCGGAAAGGGTCACCCTCATTCTCGGGGGCTGATGGGATTGTTCGGCGCGTGTGGCGAGCGGGCGGGGGAGGACTTTCCACGACCCGACGCCCGGGGTCCCATTCTGGGAAGTGCGCCGTGGGCAAGAACTGCCCCTGCCCTGGCCATGCTGTGCCCGGATCGCGCCCAACAATGGCCAGCCTTCCCTGCAGGGTCTCCAGGCATTCCCCTCCTCCTCCTTGAGGGCTGCGATTTGCTTGCCTCTCATGTGCGCATGATGTGTGTGCATCTGCGTCTTTACGGCTGAGGAAGCCATATGGCTCTGCTCAGATGGTGACCGCGGCCGGTGGGCCGGGGTGTGAAGAAAAACAAGGGGGCCAGCCCTGCCCGATGACAAAAAGACAGACTTCACCCACAATCCCAGCTCAGCCCAGCCCTCCGCCCCTTTGCCCTCCCCCACCGCCCCATCTCCATTCCCCTCTCCCCCTCTCCCCCTCTCCCCCTCTCCCCTCTCCCTCTCCTCGCCCCTCCCCCTGAATCCCTCTTGAGAAAGATGTCTGCCCTCGATCAGGAGGTCAGCCGCACGCTGGACCAGGCCCGCGCGTCGATCGAGCGCCTCTGGGAGCTCGGGGCCATTGGCAAGTCCGAGCTCCATGCCATTTTGGAAATGCTGCCGGACGGCCCGATGAGCCGGACCCAGGTCACCGAGGAGTACCCCTCGCCGGGGTACAGCGCCCGCCAGGCGGCCGCCGCCAGTCGGCCCCAGCGCCCCTCGTCCATGGCCGTCACGCGGACCTACGACACGGAGCAGTTCCCGGAGTCGATCTACTCGCCCTCCGGTACATTGGGCTATTCCCCCGCGCCGAAGGCCACCTCCTCGGCATACCAGGCCGGCGGGGGGGTTGTCCCGATGCCAGTGCCCGGTGCCGGGACCTGGGCCGATTCGGCCTACGGCAGCGGCATGCCAATGCCCCCGGCACGCGGCCGCGCCGAGATCCCCCCCTACCACCGGCCGCCGGTTCTCTTCACGGCCATATGCCAGGAGGACTTCGGCCTGTATGACACCAATGCCCAGAGCGAGTATCTTCCCCTTCGCCGCGGCCAGCCCGTGGAGGTGACCAGCACCGGTACGCGTGTCGGCTTGCCTCCCCCCTCTCGCCCCTTTCCTTCGGCCTGCACGCGGAGCTTCCCCCCAAGGGCCGGTGTGTGGGACAATGTATTCCACAAACTGACTTGCCCTCCTCCACCTTTCCGCCCCCACGATCGGGGACCAGGCAACAACCAGTGGTGGTTTGGCTATACCGGCGACGGGCGCTATGGCAAGTTCCCCTCCTCCATCGTCAATGTCCCGTACGTCCTTGCACGCCTGGCTGAGGCCCTCCCGGCCCATGCTTTGAGACGGGTCCCAGTGTGCATGCCAAGCTGACACCAACACCAATGGGGCCCCCCTCCGCAGCGGGACATCCACCGCGTCGCCCCAGCAACGCGGGGACATGCCCATGCAGCAGCCGACGCCCGGCGCGCCGCGCAGCCACTCCAGCAACAAGACACTGGATGGTACGTAGAGTCTGGCCCATTTTGCAGGGGACCGCCCTCCGAGGTTGGGACGGCAAGGGGGAGCCATGCCGAGCAGCAACTAGGAGGGCCCGGGAGCAAAAGGGAGAGAGAGAGAGGGAGCGAGCGAGCGAGCGAAAGAAGGGACCGCAGGGTCAAATGGTTGGTCAGCTTTCGGTCGGATATCCAGCGCTCTAACATGCACGCACACGCACCCCACCACCCGGCCCAGGCGCCAAGCGCGTCGGGTCGCGGTTCGCCAACTCGGCGGTCGGAGGCTTTGGCCTAGGCCTTGGCCAGGGAATTGCCCGGTCGATCTTCCGATTCTAGCGCGACCCAGGCTGCTTCCCCTCCCCCCCCCCCTCCCCCGCTCTCTGATCGGAGGTCGGGTGACTGCAACCGCGCGCCGGGAAGGCGCCCGGCTCTCTGTGTCAAGGGGAATGTATTTGAAGAGAACGCATGCATGCGCATACACGCGACTGCGGGTCCTGGCCAACTGCGGGGATATGGGGGGAAATAAAAAGGGCGAGCAAGGCGAGAAGGGGGGGCCTAAAGAAGAGGCAGGGCCAAGATTGCTCCCCCGTCCCCGCGCTCAGGAAGAGGGCATTTTAGCAGTGCCCAAGGGACTGGGCCATGGCACCCAGGAGGGGGGCGAAAAGCGCCTCCCACTGGTCTAGGGCGGCGGCTGCCGGGCGGGGAGCGGCGGGCGGAGCCGCCGAGAGGGTGGTCATTCGGGTCGCCACGGCAACCAGCGACCGGACCTCGGTGGCGTTGATGGCCGCCCGGTCGAGGAGCTGCTCAATGTCGCGCGCGTCTGGCAGGAAGATTTGAAGGAGAGACACATAATCCACGGGGCGCAGACCAGCCGGCACCAGGGTCAGCAGCTGGCGAAGCACCGGGAGCAGGCCATCGCCAGTGTGAAGGGCTGCCCGGCAGGGGGGCGGGGGGGGGGGGGGGTCAGTCTCGGCGTGATGGTGGCAAGGGTGGGTGACAGAAGAGCACGGACCCTCGGTCATGGTCGGCCGGCCGGCCAAACGCCGGGACAGCAGCTGGGCCACAAAGAAGTAGGTCTGAATGTAGCAGGGCGAGTCGAAGGAGCTGTCCGAGTGGAGGGACTGCTCGGCGATGCTCTGGTTCCGGGTGAACTGCCGCAGGAGCGGGTCGCTGGCGTGGGCGGCGGCGGTGCTTCCGCGAGAGAGGGACGCCTCGGCCATCCGACTGCCGGTAAGGGTGAAGGGCGAGCTCAGCGGTGCCGGCGAGCTCGAGGCCGACGCCAAGCGGAGGGTTGACAGCCCGGACACTGCCGAGTCCCAATGCGCGTGCAGGGCCAGGAAGCACACCGCTTGGGAGGGGTGCGCAGCCAGCGACAGCAGCTCCGCCAGGGATGTGTCACAGTCGGTGAAGGGCGGTGCCCCGGCGGGTGGGAGAGCTCGCGACAGGGAGAGGCTCAACGCGGGACAGGACATCTGCATCGGTGGAGGGGAGGGGGGGGGG